AGGCAGTGAACAAAGCACTGACAAAATTGCGTCCTCTGCCTGACTAGAAGCAGATCTGGTAGCAACAGATCCCAGGAATCTAAGTGTGGGAATAGAAATGTTGTTTTTGCAGAGTTACATTGTTTCTAAGGAGGGAATGTGGTACTGAGATATGCTTACAGTGATAAGAAAGTTTAGCAGGCGACCTAGTAAAATGAAGACAACCAGACTCCTTAGGACAATTAGGTGAAAATCACGGTGTCAAGTCAAGTCAGATAAGTGAAGAAACATTACCACTTCAAGCAGTAAAAATGTCAAAAGAAATTTGAAATTTAACAGGCCGGCAACTGAAGGCCATGCATTGTTTGTGAAGCATCAGATAGATTGTGAACCTGGATTACCCTCTCAGTGGGGAAACAGGGGAGGGTCCTGCCATCAAAAGGTATATAAACTGTGTTTTGGAACTAGTAGATGCGCTCTCTCCTGCTTGTGGGGCTCCCGCCATTGCAATCGCGAATAAATCACTACTTCACTGAGATCCTCGCCTGAGCCTAAGTTATTGGCTACAGAGTGTTTCTCACATAAGCAATTACACTATCATTAAATATTGAGGAAAAGTGTGATAAGTAAAGGATTTGACAGCCTTGAAAGAACCCTGCTCTTCCAAGAAACATACACACCAAGGTCTGTTCCCATCACCTGATGTCCTTCAACAGTCTAATTCTTTCTTCTACATCAGCCTTAAGCAACATGTGATTTCCTGAACTTTCATTTCTTAATGGGGAAGGATGCTGCCCATTTGCTGGTGGTCCCCAGATGGTTCTTGGCAGCCAAGGTCCAACCCAAAACCCATCAAAATCAAGGTGCTTTGGCTTTGTCCCCTAAATGGACATGAATAGTATCAGCCCCAGAAGGACCACCATCAGGGTAGGATCCTGCAAAAAAAACAAGTGTGGCAGCTGAACAATTATACATCATCCTCTGATCAGAACCGTTGTGCCTCTTTGGGAAATCCACTTAGCTCCCAGTAAAGGCCATCCCCAGTTTTTCTTACTTAAGATAGCACCTTCTCCCAGGCAGATGTTTGCACAGCGCTGAAGACATTGGCTCTTGCTGTGAAGTGTTCACAATTTAAGATCACCTGTTAGAGTTAACTGAAGAGTAATGCATAAGAGTAAAGTCAAATCTGATTCAATTAAACTCTTCCATCAGCAGCTGGATTTTTAAATGGACTAATTTTCAAATAATATCTGAACAAACCATTGGCAATACTGTTGTCATTCATTTCAGTTGCAAAAAGTGTTATTTTATAGTCTTTTAATATTTAAACTATTTCAAGTTGGCATCTTTAAAAATAAAAAATATTAAATATGTTTATTTAAATACACTAAATATAGAGATAGAAAAGAAATGCCAATTTCTGCTTTATGCCTTTCCAAAATAAATTTCAAACATAAACCTTGAAATCTTGAACAAAATACTAAATATCTTAATTTATATATATATCAGTATTTTTCTTTCAAAATACTGAAAAGATTAAAAAAAAAAAAAAAAAAAAAGGAACATGGTCTACAGGATGAAAATAAATTTATTTTGTTCACTTTTTGTGACCAGCTTTTTTTTTATATATATAAACGAACATATGCTTCTTGATTGTTTGCATTTCATGTAGTTAGGTTCACTCTTTGGCAGCATTTGGAGGATAAGCATTCTCCTTTTCTCATACACTTCAATTTCATTTCTGGACATATTCATGCCTATTTTATATGTGCAGAGTCAGACGACTTCAGAAAAGTTATATGGTAAATGTCTGGTTAGATTACGGTCCTCTTTTCCTTTAAATAGTGGTCAGGGCCTGTCAATGTCAATTATTGCTCTTTTAGCACTCTTTACATATCATTGCATAGCAAACAGAACAAACTATCAGCTAGAGACGCTGTTTTAATTTCCAGTCCCCATAACCTACTGTATCTGTATAAGAGAAGAACAGTCACAGAGCTGGCAGCTGTTTTCAACCCTTCATGTTTTGCAGACTGAGGGTATTCTAACTGCAAAAGCATTTAAGTGCCAACAGAAAGTCACATATGATTTATATTAGCTATTCCCCAACAGTTCTGTAAGTAAAATAATTGTCGGTGCAAGTGGCTGTGAAAAGATTTCCTGATTAATGATTATGAGATATTTCAGCCTAAGGGTGAGGGAACACATTACTTAGTATCTTTGAGGACAAAGATACAGTGGGTCATGAGGCTATAGCAGTAGCAGAAGTTGGTCAGAGCTTCTCATCCAGACCTGTAAGCCTGAACTAATATCCTCCAGGACAACGGACCACGGCTCATGTGAGAAGCAAAGGAGTACAACAGCCAGGGATGGTGCACACATGTCTGCTGCTCTGAGCAGCTGCTCACCTTGTGCAAGTCCTGCACTGTGCAAAACAATCAATCCTCTCTCTAACACCAGCATATTTAAATGAATGCTGGCTTTATTTACTTGTGTGTTTGCTTGCAGTATGGCTGGGAAACCCCTCAAGTACTTTAAGCCCGGGTTCCTGATAAGCACTTCATTGTTTTTACAGCTCTGTCTTCTTGGTTATTCCCATAAAGATGGCTTCTCTCAGGGGAGACAAGGTTAAAATTAAATAGACATGACATGAGTCAAAATGAATTTGGCATTCAGAAGAAGGTTGTTGCAAATACCCTGTCAAGGGGCACAATAAGTGAAGCCCCATTATACTCATAGAATCTTGTAAAACGTGATATATTTTAATAGCAGAAAATCTAGATAATCCATCATGTCTCAGAGAGCTGAAGTAGGGATACAGTTTCTCCTCTCCACTATGTATTCTCACCTGCTCACCTGCTCGAGGCTCAAACACCACAAGCAAGCAGTGCTCTTGTGCAAGTGTTGTAGATTCAGAGAAGTTCCCACCATGCGTGCTGGGAAAGGCAATGTGCTCACAGATGTCAGCAAACAGGAGGGTGAACAAACATCTCACACACCCTCCCTGTCTGCATTTTGTGAAATTTTTGTTACATGTGTGTTCTCCTAATGGGAATTCTACTTTTTAGTGCAGATCAGTAGTTGAGAGTGAGCAGGGAAACAGCAGGATGCTGTTCATATGCCACAGTGACTAGCAAGGCACATGCAGCACAGACTTTCTTTCTCCCTGCACCAATCCATGTGCAGATCTCTACCCTTCCTTTCCTCATGTGGGATATAAGCCAGGCCAGGTTTCTGACTCCTCCACAACAGCATACCTCGACCGAGTGGTCCATAAGCCAGACAAGGCAAAAAAATTGAACAGCGGTCTACTGTGGGCAAAGATATTCTGGGCCAAATTCAGAGAAGTTACACAATTTAAGTTTGTGTCAGTCACAAAAAGTAGCTGGGCAAATAGGTCAGTTTCCCTTCTCGTTTCATCTTATTAATATTACTGATTCCTTCCTTTCTTCCCTTGTTACAGGAACTCCCATACCCAGAATGTCAGTTTCATGTTAATGCCACTTTCACCAACATTTAATAATGTGATTCACCAGAACATTTAGTAATGTGCATTTAACTGTAGCTACAGCTGAAAATTATTCCTCTTCAGAGAGCATTTGAACTCAAGCTTATCTGGAAGTCAGAAATAATGTTAGTAGAACTTAATTGAATATGTTCTTAAAGTTAAGGTTACATGCAGCTGGGAAAACCCTGGTAATTTTTCATTTTTCTCTCTGTCCTCCAGGTTTATTAGCCCCTTTAGTTTCTGTTTAAAATTCTGTTCCCTTTTCTGTCATTTTCTGCAAATGTCCCATTTTGCTCAAAAGGATTTTCCAACCGACTGTTTTCAGGGCCTTGCAATAGGGTCAGACTGATTTTTGTTATTCCAGCCACCAAATGTGTGAAATAAAGACTTGAGACTTTCTACTTCCCAAAGTAAGACCCATAATATCTGTGGGATTTAATCTAAAATAAAAAGAATTGGGTTGTTCTCTAAGGTTGAAAAGGCAAAGGTGATATCAGACAACTCACAGCAAGACTAAGTACATTATTTCTAGGGTACCAGCAGGAAGCATATGCTTGAGCTGGCTTTAAAAGCAGCTGTAGCTACCACTGAGTGTTAATCTTTTCTCTGGAAGATAGCTAAGCAACATAAATAAAAAATTTCTGCAGATATGAGTTTACAAATTAGAATGACGGACTAAATTTTCTCAGAATGATTCCATTCAAACCCAAAGAGGCTTAACTTGGGCTATAAACTGGACAAAGTATTTCAGTCATTATCTGCAGAAAAATATAATTCATTTTATTTTTCCTATCGACAATTAAGGTCCTATGACAGCTGGGTATTCTGTGAGAATTCTGCTAATATCTGCAGCTAATTTTCATCATGGGCCCTTTAATAGATCAAAGAGAAATCAGTACAGCCTAGCTCATCACTATCCTGATAGCAATATTGAGTTTGTCTCTCTCTCTTACTTATTAACATGCACAGAATCAGCAGTAGGGACAACCCAAGGACTTTGTTTTTTAACTTTCTAATGAAAAGAAAGGATGCACAGACCACTACTTCAAATAATTTTGTGGATATGCATTTGTACATATGTGCCCATATACATGCTCTCCTATACAACCCACCCCAAAATTTGTGTGCACACATTTTACATATAACCATATATATATGAAATATAATTAATTGGAATATAATTTTAGGATGCTGTGTTCTTTAAAACCTATTGAAATTATTCCTTTGATTTGACGTAGAGATGTAGAGAAGATCTAGTGTGGATGTAGGATCATTTAGTATGATTCTGTGTCAGTCATACTGCAATGACATGTACTGAGAAACAGCTCCTCCATCAGCCTAGTATTTCTTACTGCATCTAAACTTCAGTTCAGAAATCTCTGCATAGACCACACACATCAGCCACATCACTTCAGAGAATATTTACATATAAGGCCATAGACACCTCAGTATTTATGTTAAAATGCACTCTGTTAGAATGTCACCAAGCACCAGTGTTGAAACAGAGCATAATACAGAAGCAATGTCAATGTGAAGTCTAGCTTAAGACAAGCAGATTCCACAAGAGCTTATGTGATGGAAAGTTCTTTCAGAAGTTTTGTAGGATGTGAAATTGACTACTACTGCTTCAGTGAGCTTCAGACAAGACCTGAACACCTCAGTCTACAATGAAGCCTGATGGGAGCCACAGTATGAGTTACAGGAGGTAAGGAGAGTACACAGCTGCTAACTCCTCAGCCCTTTGGATACACACAGCAGCAGGGGATGCTAATGGAGACGGGACAGGGGATGAACCAGCTGCAAAAATTTACCAACCTTCCCCTGCTTGCACCCAAGAAGCTATGTAGACACTAAAGACAAACAAACAAATCTAGAAAATATGTTTACATGCTTGTATATAGCTCTGAAATGTGATGGTAAATTTAATACAAAATAAAACAAAAACAGAAATCTTCATCTTTCTGCAGATTTATAGAACCATCCAACAGAACGGAATCAATGTGATCCTGTTATGGAGTTCTGAAAGACAGCTCACAGAAAATCAAAAGAGATAGCAACAGTATTATATCTTTCAGGATTTTAGAGTAACAACTATAAAACTCAGCTACATTCCTTGAGAAAGCTGATGGTCCCACAGGTATTAAAAGCCACTCAGCCTCCATCTGAGATCCATGCCATGTTCTCTCTTTTACTGTACATCAGATCTGAGAGGTTGTTAAATGTTGTGTTTGGCTTTTTTGGTTCACTGTGCTGTGAAGCACTGGCCTAGAGCCTAATTTGGTATTTGGGCCCTGCATTGCTATCATCTCTGTACTTTGGGAATGATCTCTTGTATACTATTAATAATTACCTTTTCTCCCTTTTCTACTCTAGGAGCCAATTGGTAGAGGATATAAGGAATGGTATCTCCTCCCTCTTTCCCCGTGGGCTAGTTAAAATATCTTTTGAGTACTTTGAATCTTTGGGTAACCAACATACTTCTATTGCTAGGTCTCCAGAATGTGTTTCTGTTGCTTTGTTGTGTTGTGATTTGTTTTGTTTTGTTTTTCTAAGATTAAAAAATTAGTTAAGAATACCTCCCAGGAATCTGCTCCAAGGAAATGTGGTGGTGGATGGCAAAGTACCTGTAATAGTTGTCTCCTCTGATGGTTTTGAACTTCACCCCTAACCCTGTGAAAATCTAAAAAAATGATAGAACGTTTGAAAGAAATATGACCTGATTCTGACAATGCCAGAGTTAAGCTTGCCACTCTGTGCTTAGGCATGGCCTTTGCCTATCAAATAGTAGCCAACTGTGTTTGGAACCCTCAAGGGGAAAAGAAGATCACAGGCACTATGGCTAAATCAGAAAGCCAAACCTCGATGGTATTTGTTGCCCCTGTGATCAGGAAGAAACATTTTCACGTGTTTCTTTTCTTCAGGAAATGACATCTCATTTAGTCAGGGAAAAAGCATCTCCTAGGAGGGAGCAGAAAGAAGAATCAGAAGAGGCAGGCTGCTCTGCAGAAGTGCACCCTCCTCCCCGTCCTTTTAACATCCAGATGCAAATTCTGCAGGGTGAACCAAGATCTTCCCTCCCGTAGAGGGGATTCAGCCAAATCTGTATAAATGGCATCTGCTTAGTATTTCTAATATTTTCAGGGAAATAAACAGACAAATATGAGCATGTTGCTTCTGATTAGAATTCAAAGTATTTATTGTTAATTTATTATTAACATAATTTTGAAAAATAACTTTTTGTCTTTATTTGTACACTAATCAGTGCCTGGGATAACTCCTGGATACTGAAAAACAACTGGCAATATGAGTGATTTATTAGGTCGTTCCCTGGCATGGCTTCAGCCTCTGCTAACCAACAGGTTACCATGGCGAGAACCACTGGCCATGATATGGCAGCAAGGGAGCTCCAGGGACCATTGCTAATTGACAGTTTCCATGCAGCCAACTTAGCCTGCACACAACGAGAGTTCATTATCATCAGCCATGGTCTGTTGCATGCCAGGTTGTGTCAGTCTGCAAGGATGTTTCCAAGTACACTTACTTCTCTGGTTTAGACACGACCTTTTATTTCTAGTTCCTTGATAAAGATTGAAGGGTTGGGAGGAACACTGTATAGCTATTTATATGTTTGCCTCTTCACCACATCCTTGCTTGTTATATGTATTTGTAAAACAGACATTGAAAAGCCTTTCACTAGTCAGTTTCTCTAATAACCCTTCCAGACTTTTCAGGGATTTATTTTCTAAACACCAACATTTTTCTAGGATGTACATTAGTTCTTTTTTTCCTGCTGCAATGACTGAGGATAGAGCACAAGCTTTAGTAATCAGTCGCACCACCAAGGACATTACTCATTCGTTTCTGCATAAATGTTCTGGTGAAAAGGGTTGAAGACATTTTTCCCTCAGTGAGGATGCCAGTGGCACATGGTGTAGTCAGCAGATTTTCTCCCTGGGATCTATGGCAGAGCAGAAAGAGGCCCGGTGGGGTGATTCTAAGCAGGAACACTTTTTGCTAAGTTTGCTAGCCAGATAGCTAAGGAGAGTTACATGTGTCACCAGAAGGCACGAAGGATGCTCTTGCAGTTCACTGAAGCAGGATGTCCACCCTGTCCTTGTTCAGAGGCTGCCTACAGGTATGATACAAGTAGGATATACTAAGGATCCTCTTAAGGCCAAGTCCTTCAGGATAGTTTACACAGAGCTCACAAATCCCGAGACTCAGCATTCTCTGCTACTATGCATGGGAGCAGAAAGAGGTTGTGCAAGTATTGCAGTGGGATAAAATCTCGCTTTGATTCTTCTACTACCACCTGGTAATATATAAAAGGCATACATGCAGTCATGCAGTGGAAGAGTAAGGGGGAATGTCCCATGTATCTTGGAAAAAGCACAACTGAGCTAAAACCTAAGGCTTATTTCACACAAGAGTAATGTATTCTCTTCAGAATGAAACACAAGACTTCTCTGTGTGCACGTTATATCATATGTTGTAGGTTTGTATCTTGTCCTGGGAAACATATATTGTCCAAACAGCTACTGAAATCAAAGGAGACCAAAACAAATAAATAATAAAATAAAATAAATAAAATAAAATAAAATAAAATAAAATAAAATAAAATAAAATAAAATAAAATAAAATAAAATAAAATAAAATAAAATAAAATAAAAAATAAAATTAAAATAAAATAAAATAAAATAAAATAAAATAAAATAAAATAAAATAAATAAAATAATAAAATAAAATAAAATAAAATAAAATAAAATAAAATAAAATAAAATAAAATAAAATAAAATAAAATAAAATAAAATAAAATAAAATAAATAAAGATACAAATGTTAATTGTTGGGTATAGATTCTTCTTTTACCTTACAGATATCTTGCAATTATTAAGTGCAGTGAGAAAATTGTCTTAGGTAGCCATATGAGCAAGTAAGTCATAAATCTGGATTGCAGGAAAAAAAAAAAAAAAAAGATTGTACACAAAAAATTCCAAAAGCACACTGATAAACACTGCTTTGTTAAAAACACTCATCTCTGGTATGATAAATTGCAATCATAACTCTAAGCCTTATGGGGCTTATGTAGCATAGCTCATAAATTAACATTCTGCTGCTCTCCAAGTGTCACTGCTACAAAAATTGTACAGTGAGTTGTGCTAACAACTGGTGTGAGCAAAGAAGAAAGGAAAATATCTAAGACTTCTGACATTTTAAAAATATCACTATAGAGATTATTTGTATAGTTTAGAAAGCTTAAAAACATAAGTTGCTAGGTTCAAGCTGTTGAATATCCATTTAGGGTCACAGTGAAATAAGATGGGTTTCAGAAGTGCAAATTTTCACATTGGGTGTTGTTTCACTTCTGAAATATCAGGGCATATTAAGATTTCAGTATGATTCTAACGTAAAGTTGGTATTTCTGCTTAAAATAATACTGCTTAGCATCCTCCACTGTAACTTGGGTATACAGCCTTGATAAACTTTAATAGAATGTTATTCTTCACCCTCATATTTATTTTCATTCATTGTGAACCTGAGTGTTTCTGTGTCATAATACGAAAATAAATAAATAAATAAATAAATAAATAAATAAATAAATAAAACTGAAACCAAAAGCTTCTCCAGTTTCCAATCTAATTCCCAATACAGTAAAAAAAAAAAAAAAAAAAAAAAAAAAAAAAACTGATTTCTGGATTGAACAGATTAAGGATCTACTTTTTGATTTATCCATTAAAATACTGCTTACAAGCCTCTAAAAAATCTACTTATACATGTGAAGGATTACCATCATTTGTGTCCTGTAAAAGGCTCCAGTGCAGTAGATGCTATGAGGAAAAAAAAAAAAAAAAAAAGACAGAGGTATTGACATAATCACTGAAAGGACAATATGGGCTAATATGAGGATGAAAACCAGATGATTAGCAGAGGTAGCAGATGAAGTGATTAGCTGATATGGGTGGCAGGTTAAGTGATCTGGATTCTGAAAATACAGCCTTAAATTTCCAGAAACTCGGTTTCCAAAAGCTTTATATATTTTTCAGACTTCAAAAACATAGAATTTTAAGGGGGTATGGAAGAAAGTAATTGAAGAAATTTTTTTTCACTTTTTCCTGAATCAATAATATTGTGACTGGAGGCATGGAAGGACTTCCCTGAAGACAAAGGAGGCCACAGTCACAGACTGACTAGGAAACACAATCAGCTCACCAAGTACCAGGCAACAGACAAGGTAGGGGCATGCCATGCAAGGTCTCTAAAAGCTCCAACATTTAGATTTTTTTATAAGATGAAGATAGAATCAGTGGAGACAGAAAAGGCATTAATAAAATGAAGCAATGGGCAAAGAAAAGTTTACAGTAACAACCTTATTATGCATGAGAAGGACACTTCTGTATTTCTCATGGCTATGGAATATATCACAGTAGTTAGCCTGAGTTCTGAAGACATAGCCTGAAAGAATTGTAACGCTGTGGATAGGTGGCAGAGGGTGTATTTTTAGAAGGCGGAGTATGAACGACTTCAGTTGCAACACTTTCTTCATAAGGAAATACTTAAAATACTCTGGGACTTTACTTCTCGTGGCATTCCTATAGGAAAATCTGCATGGCAGCATGATAAATATATTTGTGTTTTGTTTTAGTCTTAATGGAAATGTTACTTTTGTACAATTGTCTCAAAGTGAAAAGCGAGGAACGGTTTAATC